TTTTTGTTTAGGTATTTGCTGAACCACCTGAATCATTATTAATCACTTTGGATAAAAAAGCTACTGAAAGTGTGAAATATAAAGGCAAAAAAGAAAAACGTGTACAACGTGCGACATTTCGTGAAATATATAATTCATTTACAGTACATAAATATATAATTGATCTAGAAATTGAAAATAAATTCTTAATTTTATTTAGGAAGGAACATCACCAGAATTAAAGATTAAATTTGCTAAAGAAGTTTTGGAAATAACATCATGGACAGGAAGACTTTATTATAATGGTTTTAGTAGTTTATTAGGTACTGGCATGAATGTGCATTTAAAAGAGAATGGATTTCTTCGTTCGGTTTTTAATTTGGATGATTTAGAAGCTGAAGATGGTCAAAAAGCAAAAGGCAATCGATTTGAACGAGTAAATTTATTAAATAATTCTTTCATATCTAAAAATATTCATTTCTATTTTGTAGCAACAAGCAAATAAAGCAGCATTCAAATCACGTACACAAGCATTGAAAAAAATTCGTGCTAATAAAGCTACACGTACTCAACAAGAAGAATAATATCATTACTTTTTCTTTGGTCTTTCGATAAAAAGAAAACATTTCAAAATAAACACATGATAATTATATAAATATATATATTTCTCATAGATAAAAAAGATTGATTAGAAGAAAAAGTAAAAACAGTGATTATTCATAATAAAAAACTTATTTTGCATGTGTATGTGTATATATATATATTTTTTGCCGATATATTCCTGCTATTTACTAAAGAGTTAAACTACTCTTTTTTTTGTTTGTTTGTTTGATCTGACATGTCTGTCACACATGTGTTTTTCTTTTTTGAACGATTATTGTGTGAAACAAACTTGATTATTTACTTTAAATGTTTCATATTGTTTCGTTCTATTTTGTTAAAAAAGAAATAAAAGTTGAAAAAAATAATCTTTTGTTTTCCTTTTGTGCTATGTATTTAGAAATGAAAGTTAAATAAGGTTCGAAGAACATGTTCAAAGTAGATATCATCCTTAATAGTTGCGCTAAGCATTGAACAAAATCCGAAAAATTCGTCTTTATCGATAATACCATCTTCTTGACCACGAGTATCAAATTTATTTAAAAAATTTTTCAGTCCCTAGAAAAATAAGAACTAAAAGCCTGTATATATATTCAAATTTATTTACTTGATTAACTTTTTCATCGGATTTCTTCTTAATACCTTTGAGTTGAGCAGCATATTTTGTCTAAAATGAACAAGAGTTTATTTGAATTTTAAGGTAGAAAACCTTTTACTTTAAGATCAGAAACAGTTAGTTTTCCATCGTTATTAACATCGATTGAATTAAATAAGTTTAGAATAGCTTTTTGACGTCGTTCATTTATGGGTGGTCGTAATTGTTTAAGAAATTCATCGAGATCAATTTGACCATTATTTGTTGTATCAAATTGTTGAAAAAGATGTTTAATATCTTCATCATTTTTAATTCCAAGTTTAAGAGATTTAATTGTATGACGAAATTCTTCAAATGTTATACGACCTGAATGATCTAAATATTAGGAGAAAAGAAAAATATAAGAAATTCTTTTCTTTTTTTATTACCTCGATCAATTGCTGAGAATATTTCGATTAAATCCGATTGTTTTGTTGTACTTTCTAGAAGACATTGACGAAATAGTTCCATTATTTACTGCACTAATATAAATAAACTGTCGCTGATAGTGTAGAAACAGTATAAACAACTGTCTTTTTCCATTTAAAAGAAAATATCATTTTCTTCGCTATTTCCGTTCGTAATAGAAAAAAAATATCGATTGGTGTAAGTCCATTTTCTCCTCTCTTTCTCTCTGTGACATCCTGGGTATTAATAATCAGTAACGCTGTTTTTTCTGGTGTTATCTGTGTCAACATTTCTCTAGTCGTAACCGATGATAGATGTCTGTCATACTGACATCTTTATCAATCATATTATTATAATTCTATGATATATATGTTAAACATTAATAAATCTAATTTATTCCAGTATTTTTGTCAATAAACAGAAAATAATTGACAAATAATATCAAATCTTTGTTTTTTTTAATAACAAATATAAACTATCCCGCACACACATCTATTTTTGAATAAAATATATTTCTAGTTTGATTTTTATGTTTCAATCATTGTTAATGATTCATCAATATTCGTACGTCCATGTCGTGCAACATGTTGTCTAAGACGTGTACGAAATACTTTCGCACGTAAATAATTTCGTCGACGAAGTTCATCCATTTGATTTTGACGTCGTCGATCTGTTACTTCAGGTAATTGTTCATATTTTTTTTTCGTTGCTCGTTTCATTTGACCATATGTTAAAGGTATTCGAGAAGAATCAGGTTGATGATATGGAATAGTATATGCTAAATTAGAACGTGTAGATGGTGCTGATGTTGCACGTTTTGTTGGTTTTGCACACCAAGATGAACATGAAAAACGAAGCATCTGACGACGTTCACGATCGATTTCTGCATTATGTTCACGTTCTTCACGTAAAAGACGTACACGTCGAGCACGTTGACGTGAACGAGATATAAATTCTGGACGTAAAAGTTCGAGAGCTTGTTGTAGTGATAATGGTGTTGGTTCAGAAGGAAGAGAAGGGGTTGGAGATATAGAACGATGATGATGATGATGATGATAATGTCTGTCTAAATCATGAGATGATGAACTATGTGTAGTTTGTGGTCGATAAGAATCATGACGATGTGTAGATTTTTCAAGCATATAAGCACGATTACGTTCAGCATGTAAACGTCCTAGAAGATTTTCACAACGACGTGCTAAATCATTTAATTCTTCATCTTTATTCGTTATTTTTGTTGTTGTTGGACGAGATGGATATTGTGAAGTTTCATCAATTTTTGCCGTTTGTTTCTCTGATTCCGGTGAAACAAATCGACCTGTTTGAACATAATTATCTAAACGTCGATAAAATTGTTGATCATTTTTATCAATTAAATCTTTATGATTTTCATCTTTATAATTATTATGAGTTTTTTTCGTTTGTTTTTCTCGATTAATTTTATCATCGGATTTTATTCGTTGATGATGATGATGATTTGGTGTTCGTTCTGATAATAAACGATCAACAGTAGATAAATCATTTTCAATTGAACATGCCGATGGAAGATGTCGATATTCATGATTATGATTTGATATTTGCTCATCGAGATCATCTTCAATTGGTGGTGTGATGGGTTTTTTTAAAATTCTTTTTTGTCGTTCTTGTGATGACATCATTTCACTGGATGTTGTTGTACCATCACCGGCAAGTAATTTTTCAACTCTTGCAAGTAAATGTTTATCTTGCTTAAGAGTTTTATTATTATGATGGGTTTGTTGACGATGATGGTTTTCATTTGTATCGTTGTCATCATCGAGTGAAACAAAAAATTCTTTTGATGATGTTCGTTGTTTATATTTTTGATCATCTGCATGACTATTATCATCATTTGTATTATAGTCTACTGCACTAGTAGTTCGACTTTCACGATCTTGTCTTGCTCGAAATGTTTCCTGTAAAAGACGTTCAGCTTTTTTTCGTTCATGTCGTGTATGACGCTCAAGCTCGTGTAAACGTTCTTCATTACGTTGGCAATTCCGAACAATTTCTTCGAGTACTTCAACCGATTGAGATGTAGGTGATTGATCAATACTTTGTGTTGTTCGTGCGCTTTCACTCATATCGTTGAAGACACACTTTCAAATTCCAGTTAAATTTTACTACCACAATGTATAAATGAAAGCGCATCGAATTGTTTGCCGGTGCATTGAGAACGAGAGAGAGAGAAAGAAAAAAGAATGAGAAACAGAACACAGACTGGCACTCTCCTGTGTGTGTGACATGGCAACGACCAACATTGTGGTTGTACCTCTTCTCGCGAGATATTTTTTTTTCTTCTTTTCTTTATTCCAAACTTTTTTTCTTCTCATTTAACTTCTTCTTTTATTCTCTTCATGAAACAGTAAAAAAAAAATCACAATTTTATTATTGTCTGAAATCATTATATAGAAAAGATAATAAAATTTAATAATAAAATTTTCGTAAATATTTAACTACACATGTCACATAAACGTTGTTGATCACTATTAATTAAATAATTTTTTGTTAATAAAACTTTTCCACATTGAAAACATCGAAAACATTCAATATGAAAATATTGATTTTCACATTTACGTGTTGATGTACCAGGTGGAAATGGTCGTCCACAAACTGCACATGATTGAGCAAATTGATCCATATGACATGGGACACAATATGGTTGATTATCATGTTCAACATAAAGCATATTGCCTAATGGTTGAGAACATCGAAAACATGTAAAACAATTTGCATGTACTGGATCATTTTTATATTCAATATAAGATCCATCATTAATTGGTTGTGAACATCGAATACATTTAATAATAGTTTCTAATTTTTTTTGACAATCTGAACATCGATATTCATCATTATCCAAATTATAAAATGCTTGTTTTATTGGTTGACGACATGTTGAACAACGAAAACAATCTTGATGATATTCAAGATTGTTATATTTAGATTTTCTATCACCATTTACAAATGGTTGTTCACAAAAAGCACATTTACTACTCATAGTCTTTTGTTTTCTTTATATAAAAAAAAAAGAAGAAGAAGAAGAAGAAGAAAGATGTGCACCTTTTTCTATTTATATTAAGTCAATAATAAAACCGAGACGAAGTTAACGAAAAAAGAAAAGAGATAAGAATTTCTTCTATTATCATCCGTTATTTTCTTTTTTAGAGAAATATACAAGAAAAAAGAAAACGAAAGAAATGATAGTACGATCGCCATTTGTTAAATTAGTCATTACTGGTGTTCTTATTTTTGGTGTCGTTGTTATAGCATTAAATTTTATTTCCTATAGCCGAAATTTGAATGATTTTGAATTTATCGATGATAATAATGCATATGTTATACCAAACCGTGATGGTGATGCATTAATTCGTATTAAAGCTGATGTTAAATCTAATAGTAAACCAGCAACATTATATCTGAACAATGGAAAAATGGATATACCAGAAGTACGCATTCGAACTTATATGATTTCAATAAATCATGTACAGGTATGTATCTCTGATAAATATAGCAAGAATTTATAAATATAAGTTTATTTAGGATCATAATATTCTTATACGTGAAGTTGGCGAAGGTAATTTTAATATACTTTTACTTCATGGTCAATCATTTTCATCGAAAACATGGGAAAATATTGGTACATTACAATATTTAGCTAGTTGGGGTTATCGAGCATTTGCTATTGATTTACCCGGTTATGGAAATAGTTCATTACCTGTTGTACAGGAAATAGAAGGAGCTCAATGGTTAACAAGACTTATACGTACACTTCGTCTTTCAAATTTCGTTATAATTAGTCCATCGATGAGCGGTCGTTTTTCTATACCTTATATTATGCAATCTCATACGAATCAACAATTAATACGTGGTTTCATACCTATCTCTCCAGTTGGAACAAATAATTTTCAAACAACTGATTATGAAAAAGTTAAAGTAAGTCGATATTTGATTTTATCAATAATTTTAATCAATATTTTTTCTATATAAAGATTCCAACTTTAATTGTACATGGTGAACGTGATAAAAAATTTCAATCTGCAATTCAATCATTGAAACAAATTCCATCCAGTCAAATTCTAACTATTAAAAATGCTTCACATGCTTGTTATATTGATCAACCACTTGATTTTCATAATGAATTGAGACAATTTCTTTATACAGTCTATCGTCCAATTTATATTGAACAATATAAACAACGTTCATTAGCTAATGCAACATCATCATCATCAGAAAATTTAAATACTAGTCAGAACAAAATATCTAGTAATTTAACATCGAATAGAAAACATTTTCAATCCAAACAATCTATATGAAATATTGATCTGTTCTTTTTTTATGATCTGCTTGGTATATTCTGAACTTTATTTATCATGGGTCGCATGTTGCTTTTGTTAGTTGTTCAATTGTTTTGATTATAGTCACATGCCAGTGATCTATAATGATTATTTGAGAAATAAAAATAGGATGCTTATTTATCAAAATATAACACAGAAAAATAAAGAAAAAGGAAATTAAATTTGCTTGTTGCCATTGATACATTATAAAAGTGCAATATGCGATTATTCATAATTGCATGTATTTTTATGGTATCCTTAACATATGATAGAAATCTTGTTTACTATTTCAGAGTTAGATCTAAATGAATGTTTAACCCTTGTTTTGAGATGCGGTTTTCTCTATAATATACAGCGGACTTCGGTACCTATATTTATGTAAAAGCTACAAACTTAATAAGCCATCTCGGGTATTAGACTTACTGGGTTTTTGGAGTACCATCAGTATCCTAACAGGAGAAGATGCGCTCTTGCGACATGCAAAATAATTCAGTTTTCTATGTTGAAATCAAGTTAGAAATGATACCTAGTGGTATAGATCGAAAATGGCTGTAAAAAGTTTTTTAAAAGTTCCGATGAAAATATTGACAATATACATTACTCTTATTAGATATGAGAATATTAAGAAACTTTGTGCATTCGTTGAGGCGTGGTACTGAAAGGGTTAATAAACAATCAAGTGTTGAATAGAAATTCTTATTTTAAAATATTTTGTGATAATAGAGAAAAAGCGATAAATGAATTATCCAACAATTTATATGGTAATATGTTATATCAAAGTATGAAGACCTTGAATTGATGTGACATGTAAATCAGATTTGTTCATGGTTAATGATGAAAGAAATAATATATCAAAGGAATAACTTCAGTGATTTATTTGATCTATAATACAATTGTTTGTCTTTGACATATTTTACATGAATATATGCAGCTGGTGAGAACGAGACTCAGATAACTTGTTAATCATTTTTTTTTGATTAAAATTTACTAACATGCAGATGTAAATATATTTTAGTTGAGAACTGTAAATGTTTATCGATAGGCATTATTAATCGCATGAGAAATCTACTTTCATAGACGTGCTGTTGAGATTGAACTGTGAGAAACTAGACAAACAACATCGTATATGAAATTACGAAAAGAGAAATATGTCATATGTTGAATTTATCACACACCAAGTTATTCTAGCTACAATCGATAGTAGTCTAAGAAAAATTCACCTTGAGAGATACGTCAAAAAATGAACTCAGTTAAAAAGTCATTTGCATAGTGGAAAGTAAAATATAAAATGGTAAATAATTAAACAATAAAAATGGCATTTTAACACACTTTATTTTATGATGGACCCCTGAGGTGAATCTTTGTACACAAGAAAAACACTCATGAAAAGATTCGAAACATTGTATGAGTCGACTCAGCTATCAATACTGACTCCGAATACGTAAAAATATCAATAGATTTCAATTATAGTTTTTAGAAACAATACGTATTTAAATATAAATTCAGTTATGAAAAAATGAGCAGTATTGAATGTCCAGAAGAAAAATTTTTATTTCAAAAAAATATGGCATTAAGGTTCAAAAACAACGTTGTCATCTGATCGCTTCTCACATGTTCAATATTGCAGTTTTATTTCTTTCTTCCGAGATTTTTTCTTTCTGTTCGTATTATTCTCCAGCTCTTTTTTTATTTTTTTTCCTTCTTCATTCTCTCGTTCACCTCCAGGCTTTGACGAAGCTATGTAATGTGAAGAAGAAGAAGAAGAAAAAAAAGTGGGATGCATCAGAGAATCGACTAGTGAGCGAATGTGCAAAGAGATCTCTCTTCTTTTCTTGCGCGTTCTTTTCTCTAACTATGAGCTTATTCGTTCTACCAGTCGTCCATGTGGTCTTGTATACTAACATAGTAATAAAAAAATTGCGCGCGTGATCTGTGTTGCCTCGACGCGTCAGTCCTACAATGCATCAGACTTTCTTTTCTTTTAGACGTTAGTGGAATATTAAAAAAAAAAAAAGCAACGAGAATGTCCTTGAATACAAGCTGCATTTTTTTGTCTATGACAATCGATCGACAGTTTATTAATGAAATTACAAACGAATCTACCCATGTACCATCTTAATTCGTTGTCAATACATTACAAATAACTTTCATAGAAAAAAAAACACAGAATAATCAATTAGTGACACGAGATAAATTCTTCTCTACTTATTCTAACTGTTATGTTGTTGTTATTAATCTGTCTTTCGTCGTTCTCTTTTTTTTGCGGCTCTATATGTACGATACGCGTTGATCATATGGACGAAAGCACGCGTAATGCTCGTGAGTAAAGAGACAATCCATGTTCTTTTCATTTATTCGTCTTCTTTCTTCTCATTTTTTTTTTCGTTTTGAGCTCTTATATAAGCCTACATACATTCATACATACATACATACATATATATATATATATACACAATATACAAAATACTAAACGAAAGAAAGAGAAGGAAAGAAGAGTAAGTTATTTTATTCGGCCTTCGTTTCAAAATCAAACTTTTGTCGTCGACGTCTGATCACATTCTATTGTCTTGTTTTGTTGATCACGTTAATAATAAAGAATATTATCACATTTTATCTCTCGTTTCTTTTCTAGAATATTATAAGTAAAAAGTATGCCATTTATTGGACGCGATTGGCGTGCCGATGGTGAACAATGGACAAAAACTGAAATTGGTTCATGGGAACGACCAAGACGATTATCATTATCAAGTTCAGTATGTTTACCATATATATATATGATTCTTTCATTTTCAAATATAAATGTCCTTGATTTAGTTATTAAACGTAAATTCAAGTTTATCCGATGTATTCAATGCACTTGAAATTGCTAATTCAGTTAGTAATATTCGTCGTTTTAATTATATAGCAAAAGTAAGTTGATGATAATAATAAGATGTCATATATGATTATGTTTTATTTCTAAATGAAGGTTGTACAAATCTTATTTAAAGATAAATTGGGTGAATTAAGTGGTAATGCTCAACGTTCTTTATTCCAAGTTATTGGACGAATGATTGATATGGGTATTTCTAATCATTTATTTTATTCTCTTAACAAAATAAATAGTTATTTAATTTTCAATTAATTTAGTTCTTAAAACTGGCGATAATATATCATTAATGCAACGAATAGTTACACAATTTCATAATTCAATACATTCCGCATATCCATTTTATTATTATATTGGTTCAGCTCCCTTATGGCAACGACATATTGAAATGTTAACACGAATGCAAGAAACAATAAAACAAGTTCAAACAAATATGATTAAAACAGATGAAGATAGTAGTAAATTAACATTCAATTGTCTTCCAGTTGAAATGCAACGAGAAGTTCTACGTCGTCTAGATAATGGTACAGATATAGTTAATGTTGGAATGATTAACTCAAATATCTATCGAGTCTCTCAAGAATTACTTATTTGGCGTCAATTATGTCTTTATCATTTTGGTGGTGATACACAAAATAGTAATAATTCGAAATTAGGAGAAAAAATTCTTGGATTAATGAGAAGACAACAAGATGATATTGATACAAATGATATTGATTGGAAAAATGCTTATTTTAAATTAAAACGACAATATGGTCTTCGAGAAGTTTATGCTGAAATGATTCATCAATGTCAATTATGTAAATGTCTTTATTGGCAGGTTAGTGTGCATTTTAATTTCAAAAAACAAAAAAATATTTTTGTTTTTTTTAAATAGGATTCAAATCATACATGTCCATATGAAACACTTTCACCTTCATCAATTCCAATAACACCAAGAAAACTTGTAACAATGCTGATATGATTTTAAACACTGGAAGATTTTATTTTGTGCAATACTATGTTTTTTTGTTTCCTATTTTCGGTGTATTTTTTGTTTCATATATTAGCAAATTGTTTATGTGACAGTGTTTTATTGTAAATATGATTTTTTTTTGTTTTGGCTAAAATAAACAGTATGAAAAAGAAATTAAAGAAGAGGAAGAGTACGAATTGTATTCGATGAAAAATTATGTTTTATTAACCATTGACGAGTTCGTATTCGATGTGAATATGTTAACGATGATGGACAGAGAAGATTTGGAAGTATTGGTTGAACCTCTTTAATTGGTTGAGGAGGAGGAGGAAGTTCTGGTGATAATGGTTTTTCGATAGTTGTAGATGGAATAATAGATTTTGATGATTTTTGTTGTATAGTACGTGATGAAGTTTTTTTTTGTTTTGAAACTGTAGGAAGTTTATTTGACGTAGTTCGTTTCTGTTGATTATTTGTATTTGAAGGACGAGATAATATGGTTTTAGATGTAATTAGTTTTGATGATGGAGGATTAATACGATAACCAACAATTTCACTTATTTGATTATAATCAGGCCATTTTTCATAGACTTTATTTGCTCGTTTATCAGTTGATGAAACAGAAGAAACACTTAAGCTTCTTTCACGATCGTGTTTTATTGATGAAAATGATCGATTACTAAATATTAAAAATCAATTCAAACATATACATATTTTATTATCATACTTTTTTCTTATACGTTCATTTGAACTTGTACAAGGTAATTCGGATAAATAATGTGTTAATTCTTTTATAATGGGCGTATCATTTTTTGATTCAACTAATGGATCTAATTCAAATGTTGGTATTGCTTGTCGATAGATAATAGATGCATATTTTATTCGTGGTATAGAATATTTATTTACATATGAAACATAATCATTATTAATTAATTTTTTATCTGGAGATTTTTCAAAAGAAGAAGAAGAAGAAGAATTTAATTGATGATTAAAAAGTTGTTTATGAATAGCTTGAAGTCTATGACATTCATTAATATTTGCTGTTAACTGATTTTGACGTTGAACACGAATATCATGTAAATGTTTCTTTGCTTGACTTGCGGTAATTATTGGTTTATTTAAATCTTCATAGGATGATGAAATTGTACGACATGGATATTCGACTTTCAACATATATGGCGCTTAACAAATAATATTATAGGAAAATAAAAATTCTTCGATCTACACACACATATATAATGGTAAAGAATTTTTTCTTTTGCTGAATCGGAAATGAAACCTTAAAGACAAATGAAGTAATGTAGTTACGAGACATTTTATTTCTTCTTTAGTATGTATTGACGTTAATCGGACGGTGTTTTTTATTTGCTTTTATTTTACTCCGTTATATACATCAAAGTTTTCTTCTTTCTTCTTGTCAGGATAAATATATATGATTGACATTTAACAGATGTTATAGAAGAAGAAAAAATGAAAATTCCAAATAAATTTGATCTGATATTAAACCAATGCAAGATTATATGCTTTGAATCAACAACGATATGAAACAAAAACAGAAGTCTTACAGTTAAAAAAATCATGAATGAATTATATATTGCCTTTGTTTTCAAAGGTTTCAAGCATCCATAGATACACAAAAAACAAAGAAACTTAATTTTTATAAATGAATTGTTACGTAAACTATAAAAAAGATATTTTGTTAATCTTTGAATATTATCCAATAGGAATAATATAATAAAAGTAGATCGAATATTGAAATCGAATATTGATCAAAATAAAAGTATTAGTAAAGCTTAAATTAGATATACGATATCATATAAAAGTATCATCTAATTGAATTATTATCATTACAGAAAAAAAAATATCAACAATCGATATGCGTTTGATTCTTGTATTTATCGTTCTTACTCCATTTATTGGACTATGTTCCGGTGCTTTGACGGTTCTTCAACAGTTACTAGATAGAAATGATTATAATCTTAAATGGAAATATGGTACTGCACAAACAATTAAATGGATTACTATTCATAATACTGCTAATAGTGCACCAGCTCAAAATGAAGCTACTTATCTTAATAATCGTCGTGACAGTCAATATATTTCATTTCATTATGCAGTTGATAATATTCATGCTATTCAATTGTTACCAGATAATATGTAAATTATAATAATTTCACATATGTGTACGAATAAATTAATCTTCATATTTTTATTTAGTCATGGTTGGCATGCAGGTGATGGTAGTGGTGAAGGTAATAAAGCCTCTATTGGTGTTGAAATTGCACAATCAACAAATACTAATGAAGCTCTTAAAAATGCAGCAATAGAAAATGGAGCTCGATTAGCTGCATTATTACTCAAACGTTATAATTTTGGTGTTGATCGTCTTCGTAAACATCAAGATTGGAGTGGTAAAAATTGTCCACATGATATTCTTGGTCGTTATGGTTGGACTAATTTTGTTAATTTAGTTCAACAAAAATTGAACACTGGTGATTACTAAAAAGAAATATTCGAATTATTTTGAAATAAATCTAAATCATATTTTTCCTTTGCTGAGCTATAGAAAATCTTTACATTAAACTTCTCAGATTTCAAGAGATGACGTGTGATGATCAAATTGGATACTTGTTATAACTAATTTTGATATGATGTGATGCAAAGCATTCATGTACTCCTTCGTGAGTTTTAGTTCCTTTACAGGAAGTGTCACGAAAATACGATTTTGATTTTTTATAGTTATATATCAGATCTTATTGCAATTTTGCACTTTGAACAACTTAATTACACGTATTTTTTATTTACGTGAAAGATTATTTGATGTTTGATGGTAGAATTGTTTTATTGAGTGTTATTGAATTACAAGGAAATAAGAATTATTAGTTTAATACTGGTTGTTAGTATCGTTAAATAATTCTTTTGTTCGAATTTGTTATTACTTCATCACTAACATAGAAAAATGCTATTGAACATTATTTCTACTACAAACTGATATTTACTATTTTATTTCATTATTAGTATTTTCATTTATAAAGTTATTACTATTAACACTTAGAAAATCTACTTTTGAATTTCTTCAGACTATTTTCGCAATGATACATAATTCATTTTAATTATGAAGAAACTACTAATGGAATCTAGCTCTAAGTTCATAAATCGTCGTGTTCCTTTAAATCATTCAGCTGAAGTATAATTATTTCAAGTACAAAATGTGGGTGTGCTTGTGAATGCTCTTTCTTTATCTTCATCCACTCACA